ACCAACATCAACATCATCATCACCAACATCATCATAATCGGGACACCGTCCTCATCATCAACACCAACGGCATCATCATCATCACGGTCATCAACATCATCGGGACACCACCATCATCATAATCATCACCAGCATCACAATCATCATCATCAACATCATCATCAGCAGCATCGGGACACAGTCATCGTCATCATCATCAGCAACAGTATCATCATCGGGCACCATCATGATCACCATCGTTATCATCATCATCATCAGGACACCATCATCATCATCTCATCCTCATCATCGACTTCATCATCATCAGCATCATCAACATCACCATCAGCATCATCATGGTCGTCATCATCGGGGCACCATCATCATCATTACCAACACCAGCATCAAGATCATCATCATCACCATCGGGAAGCCCTCATCATCATCAACATCATCATCACCATCAGAAAAATCATCACCATCTCGACGCCATAATCATCATCAACCTCATCATCATCGACATCATCATCACCATCATCATCATCGGGACACAATCATAATCAGCATCATCAACATCATCATACTCATCATCATCGGGACACCATCATCGTCATCATCATGATCATCAACATAATCATCATGATCATCCTCATCCTCATCATCGGGACACCACCAGCATCATCATCATCGTCATCATCGACATCATCCTCATCATCATCGGGACACCATCATCATCATATCTGCATCATCATCATGATCATGATCATCGTCCTCATCATCATCAGCATCACCATCATCATCATCATCGTCATCATCATCAGCAGCATCATCATCAGCACCACCTTCACCATCATCATCATCATCATCATCATCATCATCATCATCATCATCATCATCATCATCATCATCATCATCATCATCATCATCATCGCGGGACACCGCGGGACACCGGCGGGACACTGCGGGGCACCGCGGGACACCGCGGGACACCGCGGGACACCGGCGGGACACCGGCGGGACACCGCGGGCCACCGGCCGCCCGGAAGGGAGACATTTGGTCCGGCCGCGCCTCAGCCACACGGGACACCAGCGGGACACCGGCGGGACACCGCGGGCCACCGGCCGCCCGGAAGGGAGTCATTTGGTCCGGCCGCGCCTCAGCCACAGGAGACTTTCTCTCGCCCGCCCACGCAGCTTCGCCTCGCCCGCACGGCACGCACGAACACGAAACCGAAATCGATTTCCAGGTAAGGGGGCTCTCCGTTCCATTTCGATCTCACCCCCTCACCTCCGATACATACAGAGAGAGATGGATACCTAGAGAGATATTGATACATATGAAAACGTATTGTGCTTACTGCCTATGTATGTATAACGTACATAATGATGGTGATGATGATAATGATGGTGATGATGATGAAGATGATGTTGATGATGATGATGATGATGATGGTGATGATAATGATGATGACGACGATGATGACGACGATGATGACGATGCTGATGCTGCTGCTGACGACGACGATGATGATAATGATAGTGGGGATGTGGATGGGGTTGGGGGATGATGATGATGCTGACGATGATGATGATGATGATGATGATGACGATGATGATGGTGACGACGATGATGATGATGATGATGGTGGTGATGATGATTGTGATGACGATGATGATTAGTTATGGTGTATGATGGTGATGACGACGATGACAATTTTGATGACGATGACGATGAAGATGCTCATGGTGATGACGATGGTGATGATGGAGATAGTGTTGGTGGTGATGATGATGAGGTCGATAACGATGTTGATAGTCATGATGTTGATGGTGATAATGGTGGTGGTGATGAGGATGAGAATGAAGATGAGGATAATGAGCATGGGGATCACGATTAACATGAGCATGGCGATGAAGGTGGTGATGAAACTGCTGAATGCTGATGATCATATGGTTTTTGTGATGACGGTGATACTGATCATGGTGATGATGATGATGGATGGTGATGGCGAAGGTGATGGTGCTGGTGATGGTGCTGGTGATGGTAATGACGACGCTGGTGGTGGTGATGATGAGGATGAGGTCGATGATGATGACGATATCGGTGATGATACTGGTGACGATGATGATGTTTATGCTGATGGAGATCATGATGATCATAGTGGTGGTGATGATAATGATGCTGCTGATGATAATGTGGGTGATGATGATGATGCTGATGGTGATGATGATGATGACGAGGACGACGATGCTGATGATAGTGATGACGATGATGATGGCGATGGTGATGATAACGATGATGATGATGATGATGATGGTGATGATGATGATGGTGATGGTGATGGTGATTGTGATGATGATGATGATGCTGATGGTGATGATGATGATGATGGTGGTGGTGGTGGTGGTGGTCGTGTTGGTGGTGCTGATGATGCTGATGATGATGGTGGGGGTGATGATGTTGATGTTGATGGTGATTGAGGATGGTGATAATGATGATTGTGATGACGGTCATTGTGATGGTGATGGTGGTGGTGATGATGATGAGGATGATGATGGTGATGACGATGATTATGATGATGATGATGATGATGCTGATGCTGATGCTGATGCTGATGATGATGATGATGATCCTGATGATGATGATGATGATGATGATGATGATGATGATGATGATGAGAAGGAGGACGAGGAGGAGGAGCAGGAGCAGGAAGAGGAGCAGGAGGAAGAGGACGAGGAAGGACGTCACATGTAGCATCTTGCATCTTTCGTCTTCACTATTTGAGGGGATCCATAGAATTCGTCTGGGCCGCCTTCGGGGCTGTCCTGGCCTCTTATGAAGTGGTTTTGAGGGTCCCTTGGGGCGCTCTTGGGGCCCTTTTACGGCGTCATGGGGCTTTCTTGGGCCGTCTCGGGGCCCTCTTGGCAGTGTGTTGGGCGCCTGGAGGCCGCCTTTGGCAGCCGAGAAGGCCTTACAGGGCCATTTTGGGTCCCACGGAAGGCTCTCTCGTGCAGTTTTGGAGGCAGTCGTCGATACCTCCCGGGCCGTCTTGGGGCTATCGCGGAGGTTTCTTGGGCCGTCTTGGGCTGGCGGAGACCCGAAGCGGCGAAAACGCGAAACGAATTTCAACGGGAAGTGAATGAGTTCGGTTCCTTCGGGCCCTGGTGGAGGTCCTCTTGAGGCCCGTTTGGGGCCTCTTGGAGGCACACTGGGCCGCCTTGGTGTTCTCGATGACCTGCGTGGGCCGCACTGGGAGCCCGGGGCACGGATCCGTCGTTGCTGTACGAGGGGTCGTGGCCCTGGGAGCACGGACCCTTCGCTCTGTTGCCAGGGATCGTGGCCTCTGGATGGGTGTCATGCGTGCGGGGGAGTGGGGGTCTTACTTAGAGTACGGAAACCTACCAGGCGGCCCGGCGCTCGTCCACGCCTCAGCGCGCACAAGGCACGGTGGCACAGTGCGGGGACTGGCCGATTGGAAGACAACCGTCTAAGAATCTTCAACCGTGCGAAAACACCGTTCCTGGTACTTCAACGCAGCGAGTCAAAGTGATTGCTGTGTCCTGACAATCCTCAATCGCGCCAGAACGCCATCCCTGGGACTTCAAAACCACGAGCCACGTCATTGCTACGTCCTGACAGCCCTACATCGTACCAGAACCGTACGAATATTTCAAGCGGCTGCAAGCGTTTGAGACGAATGTGCGCGGCGCTAAGGCGAGAGCCACATGTTGAAAACGGCCCGCCCTCCATCCGTGAAGCTGTTGTACGCTGTCAGCACGAATGTGCGCAGCGCCACGGCGGGAGCTACAATGTGAAGTCGACCCGCCCCCCCCATGATTGGAATTGCTTCAAAGTTCAAGCTTCCGGGCTATACCTGGTGACCCAGACCCCCGACGTCGTGATTTTTTCACGACGTCGACCCCCAGAGGTCTGGACCCCTTCCCCGGGACCGGTTGTTCATCCCGAGTCGTTTTTTGACGCTCCCGAGGCCCGGGGAGGGCCCCCGGAGGCCGAAAATGGCGAAAAAACTCCCGTCGTGATTTTTTCGCGACGCGAGGAGGTCTGGTGAGGAGGTCCGGGGCGAAACGCGCATGCCCGCCCTGCCGACCCTTCGGCGGGCGCTGCATGCGGCGTTCCAGCAAGGGCCCTGCCTTCGAGGCTCGCAGGCGGTGCCGCCTCTTCCGGCGCGGAGGGCGGCGGAAGGTCGGCGGGAGCAAAACGAGGCCGCCTCTCCTCCTCCTCCTCCTCCTCCTCCTCCTCCTCCTCCTCCCTCCTCCTCCTCCTCCTCCTCCCCCTCCCCTCCTCTTCTCCTCCTCCCTCCTCCTCCTCCTCCTCCTCCTCCTCCTCCTCCTCCTTCTCCTCCTCCTCCTCAGGAGGAGGGCCGCCGCCGCCGGCTTCCGCCGGCGGCGGCGGCCGCCTCCGCCGGCGGAAGCCGGCGGAAGGGCGGCGGGAGGTGGCGGAAGTAAGAGATGGGCCCCAGGGAGGCGAGAACGCTTTGGGGGCTCTAGGGCTGCCGAAATCGCTCACTCGGAGGAGTGCTTTGTAATGGAGGGTGACGGTTAATAAATGACCGGGGGTCGTGTTCACGCGGCGGCGCCCGGGATGACGATTAGAACAAACCGGCCGCGGGCCGGAGAACTATGTTTTGAACCGTTCTCCTCCAGTCAGGAAATTGTGCAGAAATAGCAGGACATTATTTTTTAATCTTTCCCCCCCCCATTTTTTTATTAATCGTCATCCCGCATTATGGAGCAGAGCCCCGAGCACATACCGAGAGGCCCGCGCCCGGGAGTACAGCCGCGGGCGGCGCCAAGAGAAGGAGGAGGAGGAGGAGAGGGGGAGGAGGGGGAGGAGGGGAGGAGGAGGAGGAGAGGGAAGGGGGAGAGGAGGAGGAGAGGGGGAGGAGGAGGAGGGGGAGGGAGGAGGAGGAGAGGAGGAGAGGTGGAGAGGAGGAGGAGGTGGAGGAGGAGGTGGAGGAGGAGGAGGAGGTGGAGAGCGGGGCGAAGAGCGGCCTCTCCAGGCCGCCGGCGGTGCGCAGCCAGGACCGGCCAGGTACCTCGCAGGCACCGGGCCGCGCGTGGGTGCCGCCATCGCCGCCTTCACGCTCCCATCTCCTCGTCATGTTCGTCGTTCACAGCCTCCTCTCACCGCTCCTCTCCCTCCTCCACCCTCCTCATCCTCCTCGCCCCTGCCGCTGCGAGCAGCAGATCTTGTCGTCTCTCGCCCTTTTCTCGCCCGCTTGTGCCGTTCCTCCTCGTTCCCCACCTCTCTCTTTCCTGCTCTGTCCCCTATCCGTGATCTCTATGTCATCCTCCTCCTCTTCCCCTTCCGTATTCCTTCTGGTTGGTTTCGTCTTGTAGTATTGTGTTGCTGTTTGTGTGTTGTGTTGTTGCAGGTGTTGTTGCTGCTGCTGTTGTAGTTGTCCCTCCTCCTACTCCTTCTTCTCCTCATCCTCCTCCTCCTTATCATCATCATCATCATCATCATCATCATCATCATCATCATCATCGTCGTCGTCGTCGTCGTCGTCGTCATCATCATCAGCATCATCATGGACTCCCGTCGGGGATCATCCGTTAAAATTGGAACGATACAGAGAAGATACCCATGGCCCCTCCGCAAGGATGACACGCACAAATCGAGACGCGTATACAATAATCAGCATCATCATCACCAGCAGCATAATGATAATGTTCGCCATCATCATCATCATCATCATCATCATCATCATCATCATCATCATCATCATCATCATCATCATTATCATCATCATCATCATCATCATCATCATCATCATCATCATCATCATCATCATCATCATTGTCAGCATTATCATTATCATCATCATCGTCATTATCAGCATCAGCATCATGCGCATCATCATCATCATCATCAGAATCATCATCATCATCAGCATCATCACCATTATTATCATCAACATCATCAGCATCATCATCATCTTCATGATCATCCGTCTCCTGCTGCTGCTGCTGCCTGTCCCGTCCTCCCTTTCCCCCTCCGCCTCCTCCTCCTCCTCCTCTTCCCCCTCCCCCACCTCCTCCTCCTCCTCCTCCTCCTCCTCCTCTTCCCTTTCCTCCCCCTCCTCCTGCTCCTCCTCCTCCTCCTCATCCTCCTCCTCCTCCTCATCCTCTCCTTCCTCCCACTCTTCCTCCTCCTCCTCCTCCGCCTCCTCCTCCTCCTTCACCTTCTCCTCCTCTTCCTTATCCTCCTCCTCCTTCACCTTCTGCTCCTGCACGTCCTCCTCCTCCGCCTTCACCTTCTCCTCCTCCTCCTTCACCTCCTCCTCATCCTCCACCTCCTTTTCCTCTACCTCCTCCTCCTCCTCCTCTTCACCCCTCCTCCTCCTTCTCCTCTCCCCGTCTCCTGCGGCTGGAATATCCCGTCCTCCTCTCCTCCCCCTCCTCTGCATCTTTCCACTCCCCCTTCTCATCCTCCTCTCCTCCTCCTCCTCCTCCTCCTCCTCCTCCTCCCCAGCCTCCTCCATCGTATCCTGCTGCTGCCTGTCCCGTACGCCCTCTCCTCCTCGTCTTCCTCCTCCTCCTCGTCCTCCTCCTCCTCCTCCTCATCCTCCACCTCCTCCGTCTCCTCCTCATTCTCCTCCTCCTCCTCGTCCTCCTCCCCCTCCTCCTCTTCCAACACCTCCTCCTCCTCCTCCTCCTTCTCGGCCTCCTCCTCCTCCTCCTCTTTCTCTTCCTCCTCATCTTTCTCCTCCTCCTCCTCCTCTTCATCATCATCAGCAGCATCATCCTCAGCATCATCAGCATTAGCATCATCATTCTCATCAGCATCCTCATCCACATCATCATCATCCGCATCATCCCGTTCCGTCTCCTCCTCCTCCTCATCCTCTTCTTTCTCACCCAACAACAACAGCAACAGCAGCAACACCATCACCACACCCAGCACCTCATCCAACACCTCCAACACTGCCTCATCATCTGCCACCTCATCCTCCTCATCAGCATCATCATCATCAGCAGCATCATCAGCAGTAGCATCAGCCGCATCACCAGCAGCATCATCAGCAACAGCAGCAGGAGCCGCATCATCAGCATCATCAGTACCACCATCAGCAGCATCAGCATCACCATCAGCAGCATCAGCATCGACCTAGGCGTCAGCACCACCATCCTCATCATCAGCATCAGCATAATCTACATCAGCAGCATCATCATCAGCATCATCATCAGCAGCAGCATCATCAGCCTCGGCATCATCACCAACCGCATCAGCAGCAACATACGCATCACCAGCTGCAGCATCATTATCATCACCAGTATCATCATCGGCCGCATCATTAGCATCACCATCATCAGCATCCTCGTCATCAGCCGCAGCAGCATCATGATCATCATCATACGCATCATCATCATCATCATCATCATCAGCATCATCATCATCATCATCATCATCATCATCACCATCATCATCATCATCATCTTCATCAGCATCAGCATCATCATCATCATCATCAGCATCATCATCATCAGCATCATCATCATCATCATCATCATCATCATCATCATCATCATCGGCAGCATCACCCGTATCATCAGCAGCATCGTCCTCAGCAGCAGTATCCGCAGCATCATCAGAATCAGCATCGGCCGTATAGCATCGGCATCAGCATCACCATGATTCACATCCCCCTCCTCCTACACATCCTCATCATTCACCTCTTCTTCCCCCTCCTCCTCCTCCCGTCCCCTCATCGTCATCCTCCTCCGCATCCCCATATTCCTCCTCAGTTTCTTGCGCCTGCTCCTTCTCCGTTTCCTGATGCTGTCTGTCTTGTCATCGTTCTCTTCTTCTTCCTCGTCCTCCTCCTCCTCCTCCGCCTCGTCCTCCTCATCTTCCTCGTCCGCATCCTCCGTCTCCTCATCCACATATTCCTCCTCCCCCTTTTGTCGCTAGACAAACGTACGGAACGAGCCTGTCGCACGTATTCCTCCTCCACTTCCTCCTCCTCATCCTCTTCATCTCTTCCTCCTCCTCCTCCTCCTCCTCAACCACCCCCTCCTCATCCTCCTCCTCATCTTCCTCTTCCTCCTCATCTTTGTCCTCCTCGTCCTCGTCCTCCTCCTCATCCTCCTCCTCTTCCTCCTGCTCCTCTTCCCCTCCTCATCTACCTCGTCGTTATCCTCCTCCCCGTCATCCTCATCCTCAGTTTCCTGCTCCTCCTCCGCATCCGCATCCCGTCCTCCTCCTCCACCTCCAACACTTCCCCCTCCTCCTCCTCCTCATCCTACTCCTCTTCCTCCTTCTCCTCCTCCTCGCCCTCCTCCTCCTCCTATTAATACTACGGCTACGACTACTACGACTACTATTACTACTACTATTACTACTACTACTACTACTACTACTACTACTACTACTACTACTACTACTACTACTACTACTACTACTACTACTACTACTGTTGCCACTACTACTATTACTACTACTGCTGCTGCTGCTACTACTACTACTACTGCTACTACTACTACTACTACTCCTACTACTACTACTACTAATACTACTACTACTACTAGTTTTATTATTACTACTACTACTACTACTACTACTACTACTACTTCTACTACTACTACTACTACTACTACTACTACTACTACTACTACAACTACTACTGCTACTGCGGCCACAACTTTCACTACTACTACTACTACTACTACTACGACTACTACTACTACGACGACGGCTACTACTACTACTTGTACTGCCACTGCTACTGCTACTGCTACTACTACTACTACACTTACGAATACTTTACTACTACTATTGATACTACTTTACTACTACTGGGGGGATGCTACTACTACTACTACTACTACGACCAACCACCACCTCCACTACTACGACTACTACTTACTACTACTTACTACTACTACTGCTACACTACTACTACTACTTACTACCTTACTACTATTAACTACTACTACTACTATACTAGTATTACTACTACTACTACTACTATACTACTACTACTGCCCCCACCCACGATTCACGACTACCCCCCGACTACTGCCAACGCCCTTTGCTAGTATTATTAAACTACTACTACGGACTACTACTTTTACTACTTGCTACTACCATTGCTTACCTCTACGACACTACTACTAGTACAACTACTACGACTACGACGACTAATGACTTACTACTAATACTACTGCTACTATTACTACTACTAACTATACTACTACTTACTACTAGACTACTATACTACTACTACTACTACTACTACTACTGTTACTACTACTACTACTACTACTACTACTACTACTACTACTACGACTACTACTACTACTATTGCTACTACTACGACTACGGCCACGACGACTACTATTACGACTACTACTACTACTACTACTACTACGACTGCGGCTGCGGCTACAACTACTACTCCTACGAGTACCACTACTACTATTACTACTACTACTAATAACAATAAAAATAATAATAATATTAATACTACCACTACGACGACGACTACTACTACTACTCTGGCTACTACTACTGCTGCTACTACCACTACTAGTGCGACAATTACTACTACTACTACTGTTGCTACAAGTACTACTACTACTACTACTACTACTACTACTACTACCTCGAGTGCTACTACTACTACTGCTACTACTTCCACGACTACTACTGCTACCACGACTACTACCACTACTACTAATACTAATACTACGACTACTACTACTACTAATACTACTACTACTACTATTACTACTACTACTACTACTACTACTACTGGTGCTACTGCTACCACTACTACTACTACTACTACTACTACTACTACTACTACTACTACCACCACCACCACTACTACTACTACTACTACTACTGCTACTACTACTACTACTAACTACTACCGCGACTACTACTACTACTACTACTACTACTACTACTACTACGACTACTATTACTACTACTGCGACGGCTACTGCTAATGCTACCACTACGTCTGCGACTACTACTACGACTACTACTACGACTACGACTACTACTACTACTACTACTACTACCTTTACTA